ATAACAATCCAGTCATCCCCAACGGGTTTCACCAAAACCTTAGATTAAAGTATTTAGCTACTCATGACAATAATGAAAACAACAAAAGAATTCATATTCAAAGGTGAAAGAACAAAGAAGAAGATTAAAAATTGATGCCCAATGATCCTCCTTGCCTCTTGCCCTTCCTTCTGATGTTTTTCACTTCCAAAAAATCCTTCCCCCTTTCTTGGCCGGCTTCCTTCGTTTAATATAGGGTTTAGGGCTTAAAATCCCGTGTTTTGCACTTTGGTCCCTGAAGTTTACGCGTTCTACCGCGGTCCTACCGCGGTTACGCCAGGACCGCGGCGAGAGTGGCCTTCAGAATCTGCAGCAGTGTTCTGCCGCGGTCCTACCGCGGTTACGCCCGGACAGCGGCAGACCAACATCAGTTCTGGCTTTGTCCCTTCGCTTGGTTCACTTTGTGGATATTGTATGATTGGCCTCCTTTTCTCCGTATTTGATCCCAAAAGTACTCCACAGACTTCTTTTATTGGATATAGCCTGCAAAGCATGAAAAGCACTAATCAGAGCATTTTGTTATCACTTTTTACCGTAAAAGCTATACAAAAATGTGGTTCTTTAGGGCCTAATTATAGTCTAATTTACCTATTATCAACACCCCACACTTAAATCTTTGCTCGTCCTCGAGCAACTTAAAGTTGAGCGCATAGGCAAGACTACCTTTTTACACAATTCTTCTAACTCATCACACCAAGAGTATTTAAAATAGACTAAGCACAAAAGCATAACATCTTCACCTCAAGATTTGACTCATAAGTACCACGCATTATTCACAACTCACTCACTTACTCTAACATAGAGGTCACTGACATTACCTTTCCTTCATGAATCAAGTGCCCTCACACAACAAAAGAGAGTAGTTCCACACAATAAAATTTAAGAACACTTAGGAACTCAAGATAGAAAGAATCACTCACTCTCAGAAATAACATTCATATGCCACAAAAGATGCACCATAAGCTTGCCCGTAGTGTACTACTCCACTAATCGAGCTCATTCAATCTAGGATCAATTAGGACTTTATTTGGTTGTAATGTAAGCTACGGGACGGGTAGGATATATTTAGATATAAGAGTGACTACACCTCCCTAAGCACTTTAATACATATACTTTAACATTCAAACCCCATACTTATGTCAAACCAAACTCCACCTTCACATCAATGTATATTACCCCATACTTCTTCAAGCACAATTACAGCAAGAGTCACCACTTATTAAAGAAATATTTTTTTTTCACAGCAATACAACTATATTTTTTTTTCAATTCAAGTGGCTCTTACTTGTTCAAAACAGTGCACCTTTCTCCTGATTTCATTAGTTCCACTCAATAGCCAAACCAACCACCCCACACTTTAACTTTTACATAAATCATCACAATTCAAGTGTTTATGAGAGGTTAAAAGGTTCAACTAGATAGTCCATTCAAACAAATGGGTAAGGCTTGTAATGTGGTTGCCAAAGAAACAGGATTACAGGCTCAAAGGGGTTAACTACGATACATAACAACTAGGCGGGTAAAATATACATATCTGGCTTAACAAAGAAATGCCTATATCACTTCCTAGACTGAATAAAACTACTATTTCGCTTTGCAAACACACGGGGCAAGTTCTAGGCATCAAATGCAATGCACAGAATATAACAAATCCTTACACACACATGGCACATAACTCACTCAAGATTGGTTTCATCAAGACACTCTAGTCAAAGCAGTTAACCAAAGTTAAGATCATACAATTTAAGGTACTTATACAAGAGTCAAAAACTAAGCCTAAGCGTCACAGCCAAAGTACTCACTATTCTCAAGGCATAACCAAGTCAAGAGATATTGCTTCAATTCAAAAGACAACACAATAGCTCCTACTCCCAAAAAAAAACTAACTACACCCGGTTCAAATAAAACCCTTGGAAAAGAACCGTGGTCAAAAGAAAAACCAAGGGGGAATTACTATACTACCTAAAAAAAAAAAAAAAAAAACTTTTTGGCTTTGTTGTTTTTTCTTTTTTAATTATTAGACTACTTCCCTCAAGAATACTATCTAAGTGGTCCGTCATCAGGAAGAGTCTCCTACATTTTGTAGATTTTTTTTATCCGACCTTAGCCCTCAAGAAACCCGTCGACAAGTGTCCGTCGTTGGGCTAAGTCGGTGACGTCTAAGATAAGTACAAACAATTATGCACAAAAACAGAGGCATAGAACTACAACATACTTAATGCATATATACACTAACAATACACAACACTAAATCAAGTCTCCCACCCCACACAAAAAGAATATGGCATGTCCCCATGTCATAAAACAAATAAAGTGCAGAAGGGTAAGAAAACTTCCCTGGTCATCACTCGGAGTCGGAGACGGTGTTGAGGTCCATTTTACAAGCCCTCCCTATAGCGCGGAACCTAGCCATCATCCGGCTCTCAGACCTGGCCTGCCGTCTCGACATGGCATCTAAACGTACATGCAGGCCATCTACCGAGGTGCGAAGTTCTGCCACCTCTTCCT